TACCTCATTGGAAAGGTGGCCCTTTCAAACCTTTCATTCTCACCTTTTTCCTTTTTTCCCATGTCATTTCTAATTCCCTTTTTCCTGTATGCTTGATTGGTAGATTGTAAAGTCACCATTCTCATTTCCTTTTTCCCGTGGGAAAAAATATGGAAATGTATTCTTCGGGCATTAACAGATCACCTATTTCCCATAGAAGACAAGGGGAATGTATCGCCTTTGTCAGGAGAGGGTATTTGGGCGGCCCTTGAGAAACCGCTCGCTTCATTTCCTTCCAGCCCCTGGGCACGTGGCCTGTGTAAGAAGTATAACAACTGTTTGTTTTCTTAGACTCATAAGCGCTGAGTAGCCGTTGTTTACCTTCACCACCAAAAATCGAGCAAATCTACATGTAGTGGTTGTGGCGTAATGGACAAATATTATTGCGGTTGAAAATGGCCAGAGATCAATCTCGATTAAGACAGCGTTCCTCACCAGAGGCCAAATTCCCTATCATAGCGATTTTTAATATTCGTGAGCTTTCACATCAACTATATTAGTTTATTCGTTTGCCTTTTGTGATCAAGGCATAAATCGAATGAACGGCCGCGATTCGGGATCCGATCCCCTGACTATGCGTGTAGTTTTGCGCCACTTGACTTTGCGCCACCCCCACCAACTGTCCCATCTCATTTGATGTCTCTGCTATTTGTATTTGTCTTTTCCTTACTATCTGCTTCTCATTTTGTTCGTTTCTATTTCATTTTTCGGACGATTTCACCGTTTTTCATACCCATACCGCTCATAGTGCTCCATCCAGATCATCGCAGGAAAACTCATCGATACAGTATTCCAGTTAGGACTATTCTACCAGTATTCCATCGTGCACGTTATAAGAGCGCAGATAGAATGCGCACAAAAAGAACCTTCATCGAAGAGTTTACATCACGTGAAGATCCGTCAGTGTTTATTCGGAATCTCGTACTTCGACCCGGACGAACTCCCACAGCCGATGAAATTATCAAACGTGGCCTTTTGGGCTATACTCGGCAAAAGGTAGGTGTTCACTGAAACTTGAGTTCGCATTGATCGGCTGAACTTCAGCATAGGATGAGCTGTTGAAACCACTGTAAGCAAAACTATGTGCTTTGGATAGATATCGATCCAATGAGGCTGTGTCAGCCAATTTTCTGAAGGAGCAGTTCAAGAATTCTCCTTTTATGTATGAAAACGTTTATTTCTCCAGGTATCCGGTGAAAAATTCCTTCTGCCACCGGTACGACCGACAGATGCTAATAAGAAGTGCCTTATCATCGACCTCGATGAGACGCTGGTCCATTCCTCTTTTAAGGTAAGTCCAGTTCAATCCATTTTCCGCTTTCTCCGAAAATCATTTCGCAGTGGTTTTATTATAATAAATATGGAATGTAAATCATTTTTTCAGCCGGTTAAGAATCCGGATTTTGTGATTCCGGTAGAGATCGACGGCATCGTTCATCAAGTGTACGTGCTGAAGCGACCATATGTGGACGAGTTTCTCGCTCGAATCGGTGATCGATACGAGTGTGTACTGTTCACGGCCAGTCTTGCCAAGGTGAACAACTTAGCCAATCAAGTTGACACCGTTTGGGTAAATGTTATGGGCTGAAGACTTTTTTGTGAGGTAGAAGGGCGTTTCTGGGAGTCATGTCAAACTATTTGCGGCATGTAAACGGTAAGTTGGAGGATTTGAAACTGATATACCTTATTGGGTGGATCAATTTCAATTTGGATTGGTTGCCGCTCGGAATGCCTTTCCGGCATAACCATCGTTAGATAGTGGTAAGGTGCTTCCCGTCTAGTCCATCCATGGGTCCAACCAAATCTGAAAAGAAGCCAATCCCTTGGCGCATTCCGGAATAGCATGAAGTGAATGGACAGGAACCAAATAATCATCACTTTCAGTACGCTGATCCGGTCGCTGATCTTCTCGATAAGCGCGGTGTGTTTCGATCTCGATTGTTCAGAGAGGCATGCGTCTATCACAAAGGAAATTATGTTAAGGTAAATCTGCGTCTCTATCCTTACAAAATTACCCCTCAAAAAGTTATTTTTAGGATTTGGCGCGGCTCGGTAGGGATCTGAGTAAGGTGCTGATTATAGATAACTCACCAGCTAGCTACTCATTCCATCCGGAAAATGCGGTAAGTTTCCGGATTCAGATGAGATTCTGTGATTGTTCTGGTCGAGCTAATTCCATCCATCTTTCAGATTCCGGTACCAACGTGGTGGGATGATCCGTCAGACGTTGAACTGCTTGACATTCTACCGCTTTTGGAACGTCTCGAAAAAGCCGAATCCATTTATGAAGTGCTGAAACATGAAGATGCACCATCCGAGCCGTTGTTAGAGCGAACGCAATGACGACGTCGTCTACTCCCATGGACATCCTCTAGTCTCGATGACGTCTCTGCCTCTTCTACTCTGTGATCTATCGCTCTTTATCCATGTCTTCTCTCCCTCCATCCCTCCGTCTTCCTTCTTCCTCATCCTCTTCCTCCTCTTTGTTTTTTCTCGAATGGTTGAAATCATTTTCAACCAGAACCACTCAATTTCCTCTATAGAGCGATCGCCTTCTATGTTGCCTTTGCTAGCCGCGGATCTGAAGCCCCATGCATCCGACGACGTTAATCGTCTTCAGATTCCTCATCGAACTACATCGTCGAACCGTTCGTCGGTAGGGTCTGCGGTATGCGCATCTAATCGCATTCGATGCGTTATACGTGTTGTATATAGCCCAGTTACAGATTCAGATTTATCACATATATATGTATATGTATATCATAGTTATCGATTAGTTCGATTCTGTGACTGTGATTCAGTCGTTTGTTATTATTCTATTATTATTAATCAAAATATACATTGTTTAGTGCCTTGTCAAAAGATTCAAATAATCAAAGAATTATATATCATTTTTTGAATTTCTCTTACTACTAAATCCCCTAATACGTCAGTATATACCCACCCAAACTAATCCCCATATAAATTTACCCCAATCCCTTCCCCCTCCCCTCCTATCTAACCCCTTTTTATCTATTCATATTGTTGTCAATTGTCCCCCGAAAATCCCGATGAAACTAGAGAGAGTCTTATAACAAGGTGTGCATATACCGGTGTCAAATATAATGCGTACTTGTTGTTAATGATGTGTGTCCGAATGAAATTTGAACACTGTAAAGCTGTCTGTCATAGATTCATCAGTTGTTATGATAAAATGAATTGATTCTACTGGAAAAATCATTTTTGAAACTTCTTCCTCATCGCTCAGCCCCTTTTTGGACAAGGAAACAAGAGCCGAGTTCGTAGCCGTGCCTCTGAGCTCACTGGGCCATAGATGCACCTCGGTCCTGTAGAGTTTGGCGTGGGTGGACGAGTTATTCGAGTCACCTACTGGTTAGTAGAGCCCCGGTCATCTTGGGCGAGTCGTCCAAAGGTACTGTGTAAGAAACCGTAGTTCGAAACCAACTTAGAAGAGAAACCGGGAAAAATTAGCCAAGTTAGGGAACGGCTTCGGGAAGAGGAGGGTACCTTTCACTCACTGAGGTTAAGCAGGTGGAGGATATCCCATGTGCGTGGCTTTTTGTACAAAGCTCTAAATGCTCTATAGTTTAGTAGGTGAAGGATGCCCTCAATTTGCT